CATATGTAACAAATGCACATGCAGGAATTTTCAAGGCGTCTCTCTACCTCACAGACAACACAGGTATTCCTCTAGAAGTCAGATCAGTGCATGGCATAGCAGTTTATAACTGCACAAATACTTCTTTTTGGAAGAAAAAAGAAATATATGCCCCTACACTCCGTAAACATGTTGCCTGGAAAAAGAGTACTGCAGAGTTATTAGAAACGTGCTACACAGATACCTATTTTTCACACCAAATCATATGACTGGTTTGGAGTCAGTTGACATCAATATATTTTTGGCTTATTTTCCTTCTTGCAAAGTGCTCTTGGTGGATTGGTACCACTGCAATGGCATTAAGTATCAAATCATCACCTAATACTTGCATTTTTAGCTATGCATGTGACTTCCGACAAGTGAAAATGCACCTCATGTGTAGGTAAAAAATGGATTTAATTGGAAGATCTCTTTGTTTTGCAGTAAGTTGGCAAAGATTTCTCACTCCTAGTTAGGGAGATATCAGGGCCCAAATCTGAGACCAGGGAGCTGGTCCTTATGAGGTCACAGAGGATTCTTGTGATGTCATACAGTAGGTCCTGGGCTGGCAAGGATTAGGAAGGAAGTGCGCACAGCACATATACAAATGGGTTCCAGTGAGGCCTGATGCCAGCTGAGAATGGATAGAAACTGATGCTTAGCGTTTAAAAATATCTCACTTAAACAAACCCAATGTTTTCCTCCTCTAGTGCCACTCATGCTGAGATTTGTCTCCTGCTCTGCAGATAGGAAGAAATATAGCTGATCCCTGACACTCCAGACAGAACCCTACTCCCCCTGGGATAATAATAATAAGTATGTGCTGCCAAGTCATTTCTGACTTATGGTGACCCTTTTCAGGGTTTTCTAGGTAGAGAGTATTCAGAAGTGATTTACCTTTTGTTTCTACCAATCCTTTATCTACAAAGAGAGATAATTTGCACTACAGTACCTGAGGTGAAACCTGATACCCCAGGGTGACGCTACCAATTTGGAGTCTCTGTTTTCAGTCATTACTGAAACCAGATTCTAACACTGCATGATCTGGTCAAAATAAGTTTTGGACTTTTGTGTTCCTTCCCTCATGCTCTTGTTTTTAAATTTCACATGATGA